AAAAAAAAAATGGAACCCACAGAACAAGACATAACAAGCAGAGTAGAAGAAAATTTCTCCGACCACCAAAACGGTAGTTATGAGCCTCACGGCCACAAGCTCCGACGGCACGACTCATTGGACTTGGAGTCGGCCAATATCCCCCACCACCACCACCACGGCGGCGCCACCACGGTCAGCAATCAGTCACAACAAACATACACACACACACACAAAAGAAAGAAGAAATTAAAATTGCAATTTAATCCTCAAATCAATCTTAATTAATTCTTTTGGTCCTTTTGAAAAAAAAAATAAAAAATTGTAGGGTTTAGGGTGGGCGGCGGTGGTCCAGCTGGCGTTTCAGAGCCTGGGGGTTGTGTACGGTGACATAGGGACATCGCCGCTGTACGTGTACTCGAGCACTTTCACCGACGGGATAAAACACAACGACGACATTTTGGGAGTTTTGTCATTGATCTTTTACACAATTACCTTAATACCCTTGTGCAAGTACGTCTTCATCGTCCTGCGTGCCAACGACAATGGCGACGGTGAGTTTTTACTCATAAGATAATGTAGAATATTCGTGATATAGACGGATTAATTTGTTTTTGTTATATAATATTAATTTGTTTGTCTAATGTTCATGCTCCTATCATTTTTTATTTTTTTTATTTTTATGTAGATATACATTATTATTTCAAAGTAAAATATGATATTTTGAAAAATCAAAATATGCAAAAGTATGACATTAATTCCATTTATAGTATAATGTTGAGTGAAGATGACAATATGGCATACGAATTAAAAATGAGAAAAGTAAACAACACAAGATTTACGTGGTTCGGCAATGTGCCTAGGTCCACGGCGGCTGAGGGATCTTTATTAATCTCAATAGTCTCAAATACATTAATATACCATGTACTTATACTATAACCCTACAAGGTATTAATTTACTTAAATACCCTGTACCTACCGCGGGGGCTCTGCCCCCGCACCCCGTCCATACCTCGGGCATTCGCTCGGTCGCTCCGCTTCCCTCGCTACGTTCGCTCCGGCATCAGCTTGTCGTCTTCCTTTGTCAATATATGAGTCATATCAACATATAAGTATGTAATTTTATTAGATAAAATATAAAATAGATCAACCGGTCAAATTGTAGCTAGGCCAACTCATACATGAATTTGTGTTATTCAATAGACTTACATACTTTCAGACAGTCCCGCTCACCTGCCCACCGTGGGAAGTGCCCACTTTTTTGTCTTATATGAAAAACGTATTCTGAGAATACGTTTTTCAATTAAATTTCCGAGATTGTTATAATTTAAATAAAGGAAAAAAGTTCCTCGATCCGGAGTTTGGTCACATTTTGAATTTTTTAGTTTAAACAATTATTAATAGTGAATTACAGATTATTGCATGAATTAAATATGCTCATATCATACTTTTTGTTTAACAAAAAATTTATGCATATATTATGAAATGTCATACATTTGATTATGTCGTTTTTTAGCGTATGACATCTCATATTAAAACAACTGCTTAACTATTAAAATTTGTTTAACTAGTTAGCTTATTGATGATAAAAAAGTTTGATAATTATTTATTCGTTATTTAATTAAAGAATTAAATGAAAATTATGCTTTAAATTGGATATATATATATATATATATTTATTTATTTATTTATTTATTTATTTTTTATCAACTTCTACGCAGTTATGTTTTAATTATTCATGGTATGAACTTTTGCAGGAGGGACATTTGCATTGTATTCCTTAATATGTCGGTATGCAAAAGTGAGTTTAATCCCGAATCAAGAAGTTGAAGACCAAAATGTGTCCACTTTCCAACTCGAATTGCCTAACGATCGGACTCAGAGGGCCTCAAAGGTTAAGACGAAGCTCGAAAACAGCAATTTTGCAAAGTATTTTCTGTTGTGTGCAACAATGCTTGGAACTTCAATGGTCATCGGTGATGGCGTGCTTACTCCATGTATCTCAGGTATCCTTATTAAATTGATGATGGATTTTGAATATATCTGGCCAAATTTTAGATTTCAGACCGAAATTATCCTCAAACCGGCTAATTTTAAAATTTACTGAACTACAATTAAGAGAATTAATTTGAAATTATCACATATAAGCAAACTTATTTGAGATGTATAAGTAAATTAAATTTTTTATTCTAATTGTTTCATGCATGGATGTTGTTAACATATCTTATAATATCTTATAATATCTTTGTGAACATTTGATAGAGTGTAATTAGCCTTGTAATTAGGTAATTTCCTTTTTGGTCTTGTATCTTGTAGGGATTTATATCCCCTCTCTTTGATCAATACGAACAGATTAGTTCTCCCAAAATCTCTTTGTCATGGTATCACAGCCTGGTTAAGAATTTTTTTTCTCTCGAATTCATAGTCTCGATCAACTGAGACTTGTTCTTTTCGTTTGTCTCCTCGGCTCTTCTCGATCAACAGAGAGAGCTACTTCCCAAAAAAAAAAAAAAGTGAGCAATCAAATTTCTTGGCTTAGTACCTGCAGACGTCTTTGTCTTCCCTTTTTTTTACCCTTCATTTCTCCTCTTCAACTTCTCACGACAAAAAAAAAAAAAAAATCAGTTTTCTTGGGCTGTCTCTAATCTCAACAGAGGGACACATGTTTTTTTGTTCATCCCACCAGGGACGTGACCTTCTTCCACGAAAAAAAAAACTCTTTCTCTCATGGCTGGTACAGGTCCTCACGAAGGCGAGGTTGTTACCCGACGATCCATCTCTCCGTTTGATATTTCATCCTCCGATAATCCCAGCTTGTTAATCACTCATGTCCAATTAAAAGGCGACACCAATTATGAGGAATGGGCTAGGAGCTTACGCACGACCCTCGGCGCTCGGAAGAAATTCGATTTTCTCGATGGCTCTACTTTACGTCCTCAGCCCGGGTCGGACTTATATGAGGATTGGCTCGCTAACAATCACCTTCTGTTGTGCTGGGTTATGAATACTATTGATCCAATGGTTCGATCGACAATCTCTCAACCTGATTACGTTCATGATTTATGGCTTGCGCTTCGTGAACGTTACACCATGGTCATAGGGCCCCGAATTCAGCAACTCAAACTTGATTTGTCCGGGTGCAGGCAGGCAGGAAGCAACATTGAGAATTACTATGGTCGGATGACAAAACTTTGGGACGAACTTGCGGGCTATGAGCGCTCTCCTATGTGCCGTTGCGGCAAGTGCACGTGCGGACTTCAGACTAAATGGGATCAACAACGAGAAGAGGCGAAGGTTCATCAATTCCTAATGGGTCTCGATGGTGATCTCTATGGCCCGACACGCTCGCACGTCCTCGCTCTTGATCCTATGCCAAACTTCAATCGTGTTTACGATATGATGATTCGAGAGGAACGTATGCGTACAACCGTTCACAACCAATCCTCGATTGACACCTCCAGCTTTGCGGTAAAAGCTAATGTCTCTGCGTCTTAGGTGCTGCTCCTGGGCCCCCACTTGCAGCAGCCATCATGGCGGATCATGGTGTTGCCGCCGGCGGCCGCTCGACGAAAAATCTTACTTGTTCTAGCTGTGGCAAGACGGGACATGTTGCTGCGAAGTGTTTTGAGGTCATTGGCTATCCAGAATGGTGGGGAACGGGGAGCGGGCGCGGTGGTGGTTCCAGCAAAGGTGGTGGCTGCACGAGTAACGGCAAGCGTGGCGGGAGGACCGGACAAGCACGAGCTAATGCGGCATTTAGCGGCGGTCCCACCGTTTTCCACAATCCCAACGGCTCGTCTGGAGGTCTCGTCCCGGCCAAGGGGTTGACTTTAAGCGAGTCAGACCGAGCGGCTATTTCCGGTCTGACCAGTGCTCAATGGGAGTCTATTGTCAACCTTGTTACTTCGGCTCGTAATAATTCTCCTCTCTCCGGTAAGCGTAGCTCATTTGATTTGATGTATGATTGCGGTGCATCACACCATATGACAGGTTTTCGAGAATTTTTTTCTGATATTGCGATCATCACACCACGGACCATCCAATTGCCTAATGGCACACTCACTACTGCTAGTCAAGCTAGAACGGTTAAACTTGGGGCTCATATTGTTCTTTATGATGTTCTTTACGTTCACAGTCTTCGTTGTAGCTTGATTTCCTTATATAAGTTGTTAGAACAAGCTGGATGTGTGGCTACCCTTATTAATAAATTTTGTGTTATTCAGGACTGCACTACGAGGACGGTGATTGGAGCGGGTGAACAAGTGGGGGGACTGTATTTCTTTCGAGGGGCAGTCAGTGCAACGGCTTCTCGAGTAACGACGGTCTCAACTGATCTATGGCATCAACGGATGGGTCATCCTTCTTCATCTGTTCTTACGCAATTTCCTTTTATTAAGTCTGGTGTTACGACGTCAAATAAATCATGTGATGTGTGCTATCGGGCTAAACATTCACGTGCTAGCTTTCCTATTAGTCGTAATGCTGCCAATGACATTTTCTTCTTAATTCATTGTGATTTATGGGGACCTTATTGTGTTCCCGCGTTCTGTGGAGCACGATATTTTTTAACTATTGTCGATGATTATTCTCGTGCTACTTGGATTTATTTGTTGGACGATAAGAGTGTTGTTTCCTCTACTTTGATAGCTTTCTTTGCTATGGTCAAGAGACAGTTTAACACTGTCGTTAAAGTTGTTCGAAGTGATAATGGGACTGAGTTTGCCGTCATGCGTAACTATTTCTAACGTAAAGGTATTGTTCACGAGACTTCTTGCACTGGAACACCTCATCAAAATGGGCGAGTTGAACGTAAACACCAACACATTCTCAATGTTGCTCGTGCATTACGTTTTCAGGCTCATTTGCCGCTTGAGTTTTGGGGGCATTGTGTGCTAGCTGCTGGATATTTAATTAATCGCACACCTTCTTCTGTTTTGTCTGGAAAAACACCTTATGAAATGTTATATGGCAAAAGTCCTGATTTCGCCCATTTGCGAGTCTTTGGTTGTTTGTGTTATGTACATAATCAGGTTTCACAAGGAGATAAATTTGCCAGTCGGAGTCGTAAATGCGTGTTTGTTGGTTATCCTGCTGGTGAGAAGGGATGGTGTGTGTATGACTTGGATAATGGTTCATTTTCGGTCTCCCGTGATGTAGAATTTTGTGTAACTGAATTTCCCTTTTCGGAATCTACCACCCCAGTGGCTCCTATCATATCTACAGACGCTTGGCCCGTAGTGTCCGATGATGATGTTGATGATGCTATGCCTTCTTCTTCTTCTAATTCCGGGAACTTAGTGGTGTCAATGATAGGGGGGATGCTACCCCCTCCTCCGAGGTCCTTGGTCGTGGTTGTCGAGTTAAGCGTCGCTCCTCACGGCTGACTGATTTTGTGTCTCATGCCCTCTTGACCTCGTCCCCCCCACTGATTCTCCTGCTTTATCACCATCCTCAAGTACGCCTTACCCTATAGCACAATATTTATCTTGTGACTCTTTCTCACTCGGCCATAAAGTTTTTTTGGCAGCTGTGACTTCCGCTATTGAACCTTGGACGTATGTCGAGGCAGTTCGAGATAGCCGATGGCGCTCCGCCATGCAACTTGAGATTCAGGATTTGGAGAAGAATCATACCTGGGATGTTGTTTCTCTTCCTGACGGCAAGCATGCGATTGGTTGTAAGTGGATTTATAAAATTAAATATCATTCTGATGGATCTGTTGAGCGCTATAAGGCGCGCTTGGTTGTTTTGGGTAATAAGCAGGTGGAGGGGATTGACTATTAGGAGACTTTTGCCCCAGTCGCTAAGATGGTTACGGTCCGGACGTTCCTTGCCGTTGCGGCGACACGGAGTTGGGAGGTACATCAGATGGATGTTTACAACGCCTTTTTGCACGGTGACTTGACTGAGGAAGTTTATATGAAACTCCCTTCTAGTTTCCACTCCCCTCGGGCTGGTGAGGTATGCAGGCTACGTCGCTCATTATATGGCTTGAAGCAAGCTCCCCGTTGTTGGTTTGCAAAGCTTGCTACTGCTCTCAAGCAATACGGTTTTCAGCAGTCCTTATCTGATTACTCCCTATTCACATTCCATCGTAACTCTGTTCGTTTGCATGTTCTGGTTTATGTTGATGATCTCATTGTGTCTGGGAGTGATCCTTCTGCTATTGTTGCCTTCAAAGAGTACTTGGGTCGATGTTTTCATATGAAAGATTTGGGTACGTTGAAGTATTTCCTGGGTATTGAGGTCGCTCGAAATTCCTCTGGCATATTTTTGTGCCAGCGGAAATATACCCTTGACATTATTGCCGAGACAGGCTTACTTGGCAGCAGGCCGGCTGACTTTCCTATGGAGCAGAATCATCAGCTTCCCCTCGCCGATGGACCATTGCTCTCTGATCCAGAAAAGTATCGGCGACTAGTAGGGCGCTTGATTTATTTGGATGTCACTCGTCCTGACTTGTCTTATGCTGTGCACATGCTCTCCCAATTTATGCATCAGCCTCGTCAAGCCCACTGGGATGCTGCGGTTCGTGTGATTCGTTATTTGAAGGGTACTCCGAGCCAGGGTATCCTTCTTTGCTCAGATTCTGATCTACAGGTTTATGGTTGGTGTGACTCTGATTGGGCAACGTGCCCGACCACCCGTCGTTCACTCACGGGTTGGTTCGTACAACTTGGCCACTCTCCGATATCATGGCGTACTAAGAAGCAGCATACTGTTGCACGCTCTTCCGCCGAGGCTGAGTATCGCGCTATGGCGACACTTACTTGCGAGTTGAAGTGGTTACGAGGCTTGTTACGTAGTCTTGGTGTGGAGCACTCTCAGCCAATGAGGATTCACTGCGACAGTCAGGCGGCTCTCCACATTGCCGCTAATCCTGTGTCTCATGAGCGCACCAAGCACATTGAAGTCGATTGTAACTTTCTTCGAGATGCTCTCGTCCACGACCTGATTTCTACTACACATGTTTCTACTCATTCACAGCTCGCAGATATTTTCACTAAGGCCTTAGGCAAACGCGAGTTTGATTTCTTCCTTAGCAAGTTGGGCATTCGGAA